AATTTCCATCTCATAATTCGAGAGCGATTGTTACAATGCAATTACGAAACAAACGTCGACCATGGACCATTCAGGAGAAAAATTTGGCTTTATCTTTATTTTATAAATCTCCTACATCGTATAATTTTTTATGTTTACAAAGAATTAATTTACCAAGTCCAAGCACAGTTCGRCGTTGGATTGGCCAGTCTAAGTACCAACCAGGTTTTAATAAATTATTTTTGGGTCATTTAAAAAGAAAGTTTGAATTTAAAACGTATAAAGATAAAGTATGTAGTGTTTGCTTTGACGAAATTTCAATTAAAGAACTTCTTGAATATTCTAAAGATTTTGATTTTATCGAAGGGTTTGAAGATTTAGGGAGACTTGGAAGATCAAATAAAACTGCTAATACTGCTCTAGTATTCATGGCTAGGGGCGTTTATACGTCATGGAAAATTCCAATTGCCTATTTTTTAGCTCATCATTCAGCTGTTAAACATGATATTTTAAAAACACTTATTATTGATGTTTTACAAGAGTTATTAAATGTTGGTTTATTACCAAAACTTATAATATGTGACCAAGGAACAAATAATCAAAGTGCTTTGAGATTGTTAAATGTTTCGGTGGATAATCCCTTTTTTTACGTGGATGAACATAAAATATTTGCTTTATTTGACAGTTTGACACACCTCATCTGTTAAAAAGCATACGGAATAATTTTATTGGAAGTAATTTTAAAAAATACGACATTGTAATATCATTTAATGACATTGTGCAAATCTATAACATCGACAAAAAAAATTAAAAAAAGTAGAGCATTATTAAAAATTACAGATGCGCATATAAGACCGAATTCATTTCAAAAAATGCGCGTGAAGTTAGCTGCACAAGTATTAAGTCTTACAATGTCGTCAACTATCCGTACTTGTATATTACTACAAAAGAATTAATGTCTGAAACTGCAAATAATACAGCAGATTTCGTCGAATTTATAAATAACCTTTTTGATTGTCTTAACAGTAGAACTTTGTATAGCAGTAATCCATATAATAGTGCATTAACAGATAATAATATAGTTAAAGATTTTTTATCAAAGGCTTCTGATTATTTTAAAAATCTAGTTAAATTGAAAAACGGAAAAGCAACTCGGCCACCGTGTTTCGATGGATTTATTCAAACTATAAATGGGATATTAAGTTTTTTTGAAGAAGAAAAGAATAATAATATTATATTTTTATTAACAAATCGTCTAAATCAAGATGTAATTGAAAATTTATTTTCAATATTTCGCCAGAAAGAAGGTTATAATAAGAACCCTACGTCGAAAACATTAAGAACTTCCTTTAGAAGTACGTGTATATTTTCGTTATGTCAATCAAAAGGGACGAACTGTGAAGAAGAAAATGCTATTGATGACATAAGCGTAATTTATAATGATAATGATGTGACGATAACTGAAAGTATGAATGATTCATTGTCAGAAACTGAATCTATTTCTTCATTACCTNTGAAAAATAAAATAAATTCATAGTCACAATTTTTTTTTATAAGCATTCAAAGTTTGAATTTTGACAAAATACGTAAAAATCACGAAAATTCGCAAGCATCGATATTTTAAGCTAGAAATTCATAAAAAAATTTCTTTTTAAGTCTAAGATTAGTAAGATTTGAACACTTTTAATAATCTATAATATATCCTAGACTACCTATAGACAGATAAACCGTCTCCGCTCAGAATCGTTTTTCGTATACAATAATATAATATCATTGGATTCAAATTTAATTCCATCCATTACACTTGTAACCTACTGTACAGCAGAGCGACATCCATGACTTRACCACTTTTTTTTTTTAATTAGCATTTGAAGTTCAAATATTGACAAAAATTAGTTAAAATCATCGTTGTTTGCAAATTATTTTGTAGGTAGTTAAAATTTATAAAAAAAATTTCGCCACCATTTTTTTTAATTTATAAGTTTTTCCACGTTTTTTTATTTTTTTATAATCTTCTAAAAACATTTATATCAGCCTCAATTTTATTTTTCATTAATTTTAAATTAAATTGTGTAGATATTAGTCCTGTTACATTATCCACCATCAACTCCATTCAACAATAAACTATMGAGAACATATA